TAAAGGGCAGGTCTAATGCCCCAGCACTGTGGCAAGCGTCCAAGATACAGGTCAAACGGCAACCTGTCACGGACGACGGAGTCGACGGAGTCGGTCGACGGAGTCGGTCCGGAGTCGGTCCGGAGTCGGTCCGGAGAGGGGAGTCGGCATGGGTTGCAAAGCGTTCCTTTTCCGAGGTTTCTGCTGCCAAACAGGCCTTTTTCTCGCCAACACCACAAGACGTGTCACAGGCCATGGGAAAGGGAATGTATGCTTCTTCTCTTCAATGAGCCAAGGAAAGGACTTGAGAAAAGAGGGGGTGGACGAAAGGTTGAGCTTAGGATTCCTCAGCATGGTTCATTGGACTCAGAGCTGGCTGTTACTCACACCCCACACACAGGGCAGTCGGGGCGAAGTGCCCTCGGTGATGGAGAGCAATAGAAGGGAAATCCACCCGGCAGCAGCAGCAGCAGCAGCAAAAAAACGAGGAGGGAGGAGAAGCTCGATAGAAATGCAATCACACCAAGCCACGGTACAATTGAAGGGAAATTCACCCGTGGCCAGGGGGAGCTGATCAGGTCATTGAGACAAATCCAGGCACTAAGCGAACTCAAGGTTGCCGAGGCAACCTTTCCGTGACAAAGTGGATCAAAATGGAAGGAATTGTGATTTTAATAGGTGAATTTAAGAATATGCATTGTTTAAGTTTTAGATTGTTTACAGCAAGTGTTCTCCTTGAAGGCTCAAGTCACCCAACCTGTCTTTCACCCAATCTGATCTCTACTTTCAGGCCACCTTTGGGCAATGGCTTCACCAAGATCTCAAAAAGCTCGCTGTCGTGCAGCATCCCGGCCTCAGGACATCTCCAACAGCTGAGCATGCTGTTGTTGTACAGAAACCTTGGATTTGCTTAAGGAGCCTGCAAAGTTTAAAAAAAATAACAGAAGGGGATTTAATCATAGGAAAAAAATAAATAATCAATCAACTTAAACAAAACTAGGAAACTCAGTGGCTGAATCCCCTCCACCATCCTCCACCTGTTCTCTGGTGCCTCTAGTCATGAAAAGGGGGTCCCCCATTCTTGAAAATTAGGCTGTCAGCTGTCACCACTCTAACTCCACATGTTTTAGAACGTCAAGACCCGTGCGCTGGCACGTCCACATGTTCTAAATGATCTTTTTTCTTCTTGTGTCACTCTGTTGAACACCAGTGGTGGCTGCTACTGGCACCTGCTGCTACTCCAGACCGCCCGGCCTCATGTCCACGGGGCGCCCCGCCTCGTCCATGTCCACAGGGCACAAGGTCTCATGCCACTCGCCACGGCCATCGCTGCGCGGCACGCGGCCGCCGTGACCGGAGTAGTGCAGCAGAAAGGCGTCGCCGGGCTGAGCATCGTGGACAAGCCAGGCAATAGCAGCGCGGAGGTTGGCAAGGGTCGGACGCTGGCCTGGCGGGAAAATGTGGGCAGTGCTCAAGTAGCATCCTTAGTATTAAGAATATTAAGATGTATTAAGCATCAGTGTTGTATAAGATCGTATAAGTATAATTCGGTCTGTTCACATTGCTCTTGAACCAAAAAGTGTTCATCAATGTTCATCTTACGTATACAGACAGTGGTATCGATGTGGACTTCCTGTCATGAAATTCAGCTCTGTTATCTTGAGGCACACCGCTGGACCTGCCTTAGCAAGTATACGACGTTAAGATACGTTAAGCGCTGACCTGCCTTGGCGAGTATATCAGTATATCAAAAGATATTGCCCGTGCACCTTTTTTTCAGGAATTCGATGCGCGACTGATTCAAAAGTACGAATAAGCCTAAGCATTACAAATTAACTGACGCTCTCACTGGAACTAACATGGAAGTGGAAAATTGTCCCTTGGAAGACCGTTTTCCTCTACAAACAGGGGCCATGTTAGTTCCTGCCAGGGTAAATGTTCATCAGCTTGCCGATGCCAGCTCAGGAATGTGGCATGAGGTCAGCTGCGCATCCCCAACCTTCCATTCCTAACAATGAGGTGCCACGCCTGCGGCATGGTCTTTCTCCGGGCCATCCAATGGGTTTGCCCTGTAAGTGATTCCAAAGACTGGGAATTGGGGTACGGCGAAAGGAATGCCGCCCAGCCACTAGTTACCCATGATTGCGGGGGAGCCTCCACCCCCCAAGTATACGGGTCCAAAGATCAGTTCGCGTTGGACCTCGGCCGACTCCCCATGGGCTCTTCGACTCACTCACGCCAGTCTGGCCTTGCCAGTCTGGCGCATCCAACAGGATCCGCTGGCAGTCGGTCTCCCCAAAGCCCCAGTGCTTCACCAAGGGGAGCATCCGATGCACATCGTCCACGCAGCCGTGCAACTCGTGGGGGGAGCCAAAGTAGTTGATGCCAATCCTAGGCGGCCCACCATTGGATTTGTTGAATCGTGTTGACTGAACAACCCTTGATGACTGTGGATGTCACATGGCAAAACGAGGTCAATCTTTCTTTTAATGATCTTGGAAGGCTCAGGCTACGGCCTATAGGGTTTATATAACCCTCTGCGACGTCCAGCACGCGCCCAGAGACGGGGATGGGCCAGCTTTAAACAAAAGTACGATAAAAGAAAAGAACAAGTGATCCGTCTACACTTGTGGAGCTCCGGAATGGGAACCCCACGACTTCTGAAGGAGTCGAACAGTCACGACAAGCACGACATCCCAGGAAGAACATGAAGGAACCACATGGAACCGAAAAACTAAACTGAACAGACTTGAGGCCAAGGGGGGGGGGCGAAAGCTAGCGCTCCAGAATGGGAAAGTGGAGGGCAGCGAGGAGCAGCACCAATTCCCTGTTCCCGTGTAATGTGGCTTTAGATACCAGGTGAACGATTTACAAATACATCTCGAAGCCAAATAGGCTTTGGTAGCAGCGGGTCTGCACGGAGTAGCAGAAGGCAGGACGCCTTGCACAAGTTGGGCGGGGCAAACGATTCCAGGTGAAGAGTCCTTTATATGCGGCTCTTTGCCCGGATCCTCCTGCGAGAGAAGAGAGAGAAGAGAGAAGAGAGACGGAAAGACGAGAGACAGAGAGGAGAGAGAGAGAGAGAGGAGAGAGAGATGAGAGAGAGATGAGAAAGAGATGAGGGAGAGATGAGAGAGATGAGAGAGAGATGAGAGAGAGATGAGAGAGATGAGAGAGAGAGAGAGAGACAGTGAGAGTGAGAGTGAGAGTGAGAGTGAGAGTGAGAGTGAGAAGGGGGGGGGGGGCTTCGACCTGAAAGATCAGGGGTTAGGATTTGCACCCGATCGAAAGAAACCTTGCTATCGCAAGAGTAACTCCAGCTAGCTTCGCTAGATTTCGTGACTACCATCGCGGCTCTCAAACCCATGACGGTTTTCACACACAAAAAAGGAACCTTTTGGGTGCCAGGGAAAACCAGCCCCTGGCAGCAAGCGCTTGAGGAACTCCTATTCTCGATCGTTCCCGTTCGCCCGCATCGAGGAACGGGCCACGGGCGGGTGCGCCGTCTCACCCGGCGCCCGAGGGCGACGCCATGCTAGACCAGGACACGTGACTTCACAGGTCACCTGACGAAGTCAGGCATTTCAGCCATGAGACCTGTAGAGTCGGATGCTGGTAACGAGGTGCTTGGTCTAAAAGCGCCAAGGCTCAATAAACTCTTGCGGCGGCCGTTCAACTCTACTGGTCCCTGGTTCGCCTCGTACACCTGGCTGCTTGCCTCGTGCACCTGACCGGTGGTGCCATGGACGGAAGGTCGTTGGAGCGGTGGTGCCAAGGACTTTGAGGGACTGTGGGATCTCGTGGGTGCTTTTACTTTGCATTGCTGCAGTAGGTTTCTTGGCTGGTTGGGTTCGTTGTGGTTAGTTGGTGAATTGCCTTGGTTTGCCCTGGCTTGATGTGGAGTTTGTCTTGGGTTGGTGAAAGTTGGCTTGTGGGTTAGGTTTGTAAGATTGTTTGCTGGTAATTTGCTGCCTTGAAGTTGCTTTGATATTGCACCGCTTTTGGTGGGCAAGCCTCTCTTGTCTTGGAGTTCAAAACTACTCTACTATATAACTTTATGCATACTGATCGGTAGGGACAACTGCTGCACCGTCCAAAAACCCTCTTCGAGTCCGCGCAAAACTACTTTCGAAACTGTTGATAATTTTGAGGTTCGTGACGGTTCATGACGATTCATGTGTGTCTGTTTATCCTAAAAGTGGTTTGTTTGAACTCGGAACTGGCCAACAACCTTTTCCACACTCTCAAGATGGCACTTTGGGCACCTGCCCTTCGCTTGCCAGCTGCTCCTTCCTGCTCGGGCTGCCTTCAGCGATGGGCGGTGGAAGCACCGTTAGCGGAGCGTTGGCGCCAGGGACGGCTGGAAGGTCTTCCCAGGTGACATCTCGGACGTGGCAAGGAGGGAGCTGGAACTCATAGGTCGAGTCATCACCTCCGGCGCGGCGGACACATGGATTGGGAAGACCTGGATGAATGAAATCATGCCGTCACTTGCTTGGCGCATGGGAGATAAAAGAGGTTTTAATACCGCCCAAACGGCACTGTCTGCCATCACACGTCTTCAACGCCACCGACCTCCCAACACGCTCACGCCTGGTCCATCTTCCAAAACGCTCACGTGGCCCCAAATGCCCGGCGCGTCACCCGGGAACTCATGGCCGTGGACCGTGCCCATGGCGGGAGGCGGGGCGCGCGCCGGCTATAGCGGTCGAAAAGCGGATCTGCAGGGCCGACAAACGGAGGTTCAGGGGATCAGTTGCTCGACGACGGGAAACAGAAGCCTGTGGCCAGTGGCGTTCGGAACAACATGAATACACATGAATGATTGTGCTCGATAGATATCGATTGATATCTTGACAAACCGCATCTCATCAATCAAAAGACATGACCAGGTCATCCAAAAACCACACTGTGGAAGCTACTCCCCGGATTCTGAACCGCACTTTGTACACCCACACCAGTACCCACACCACCCAAGGGGTTGCTTTTGGTCCACCCCTCCCTGTCTCGGTCCCCCTGGCTGCCGCAGTCACCGGCGCCTGGGGCGGATTCGCGTTAGGCGGGAAGGCCGGGAGGAGGTCGCGCGGAGTCGCGCGCGCGGGACTCCGCGCAAGACCGGGGTCCACGACGACGGCCGGGAGTCAAGGGGTCCAACGTCAATGGACGCCCGAAATCACTGGGTTGTAGAGGAAAATCATCGGAAAAGGCCTCCAAATGGTCGGTCCAAATCAGTGACTTCCCCCCCCCCCGGTTCGGGTTGGACCACATGGAACCACCGGTTCACCACGGTTCACCACCGGTCAAGTCTTAGATTCCATGGGATTGTCTGGGCAGGAGGGGTGTTTTGGATGTTAAGGGTTCTAGGATGGTCTAGACATGTCTAGACTCTATGTCTGAAACTTGGAACCAATGGTTGGTCCTATGAGTCATATGAGTCATGTGTCCTTGAGAAAACAGGGGTCGCAAAGCTTGGTTTGCTTGACTCCCGACACATGAGTCACAAGACGTTTTGTGCTGCGCACGTTCTGCGCAACAGCCGGCCAAATATATCTATATATATATATGGCCAAATCGGTATATATAGACATACTGTAGCTGGGATGAATGAAACCTGGGAAGCAACCATCCTTGAATATCCTTGAGAGGGGCCATGAACCTTGAGGAGAGATAAATCTTGGGCGAACTTGTGACATAAACCGGTCTCATGTGCAGAAGTGGAAAACTGCGGGTTGGAAAATGGTCATCGAAGTAGACAATCCAAGGGGCCGGGGCCATTGTCCACTTCCATGTCAATAACAGGGAGTGTAGACGAGCAACCCATTGGTCGAGGATCTAGCAAAACCGATCTGGCGGTCATGGGGCGGCCCAGCATTCCCAGCTAACATCAAAATGACCACCAGGAATATCAATCTAACTTGGGTTCTAAAGCACTTCGTATCCTTCCCCGTGGGTCGGAGGCCCGGCCACCATCTGAGACCCGCACCGGTGGATAGCCTGTGGGATGACAACGCTCCGCGTGCCGGGTGGGGGGGCATTTGGCATCCAGCTGCGGCCAAAAGGGGCAACAAACTTGCATTGGTTTAGTGTCAATAACATCCTCCACCCGATCCATGTGATGACTCATGACCATGTTTTTTCGTTGGCTGCACTGGGCCTGATTGGGTCGAACCATGGCCTGATTGGTCCAAACCCGGTTTAACTCAGGTTCAAAGCACCAAAATGAACACAAGCTACCAATGACCCAGGCCTCTGGCTTGGCCTGTGCAAGAGCCAGATCTGAGGAGAAAAACGTAAGACTACAAACGAATCCCAGTATCAAACCCTGAGAAGTTGAGTGTGCATTAAATAGGGAGACCTCAATCCAACCCCTTGGAAGAAGGGAAATAGGCCAGTCCACCCAGCCACGGCCAGGGGGTGCCCCTATGATACACACCCAATTCTCCAAAGTAAAGCGATCGCATGCGATCGCGCCGGTGCAGCGGTCTGTGCATGTCTCAAATCGCATCCGCCGTTTCACGCCTTGTGGACGAAAAGGACATGACCAAGGTCTTTGAGCGGGGGGGGTTCCAATCCAAATGGGGCCGCTTATTAATCAAGAGCCGCCGGTCTACGTTAATTGTCGTTTTGCAGGTCTTGGCGGTTGCTCAAACCAAACGACACTGGCAAAGTAGAGGTGCAGTGTATGCCTAACTCGTTGCCGAAGGGCGCACGTTTCAACAATCAAACTGGGCACCCGCACTAGCATCATCCTTGCCAAAGCCCTTGCCGAAGCTTGCGCCGCCAACACATCCGGCGCAGCCACAGCAGCCACCGCAGCCTCCACAGCAGCCACCGCAACAGCCACCGCAACAGCCGCCACAGCCACCACAACCGCCACAGCCGCCACAACAGCCGCCACAGCCGCCGCCACAGCCGCCACAGCCGCCGCAGCCGCCGCAGCCGCCACAGCCAGCACAGCCGCCACAGCCAGCACAGCCGCCACAGCCAGCAAAGCTGCCACAGCCGCAGCCATAGCTGCCCTTGCCACTGACAGCACCGCATCCTTTGCCCATACTGCCTTTGCCCTGGCATCGGGAAACCGCGGTTTGCTGTAGCATCCAGAAAACAATAAACTGACATTCGCTGTAGGAAGTTGTGTAGGCTTGTGAAAACGCCGGTGTCAGTGCACTGGGTATCGGTGATCAAGCTACGGGAGGCGAAGGAGAGGGGCTTCGCAAAAAACATGCGAAAACAAAGTACCGTCTCTCCACACAGTCCTAACATCATCCCTATCCCATCTCTCGAAGCATTCAGCACACCAGCGGCGCTGGTTGCAGCGCAGTCCACGAGTCCACCGCCGGGAGATGCCGGTCTGCCGGTGCTTCTCAGGACCCTTCAGTCTTGAGCAAGGCGACACAAGTCCTACGAGCCGTTGCTTCGTGCGCGTGAAGGAGGGGAAAAAAAGCGCGCGCACAATCAATGAAACAAGCACAGTCCGAATGGCCCGGCAACCTGCGCCCTCCTGATAAACCACTTGAATCCACTTGAGGCTTGCAACTTGACCTCGGCTCAATCCCTCGGACAGTAGCACCGCACCGGCTTGACTTTGGAAACTGGGGTAGATGGAGTGAGTTGCTCAAACTACACAGGGCCGTCGAGAAACAGCTCGGCTTGCGTGGCAGCTTGGGAGGTCGAACTTCCGACTTCTTGACGAACACACCACATGGGTTTTGGATGGCACCCTTGAAGGTCGAAATTGTTTGCCACTTCCATGGTTTGGTGAGTCAGAGTGGCTCCATCAAGCCCAATCCCCGGAACACTACCAGGAACCAGGGGCCCTTCGCGCCGGTGGGTCTATGGTTGTACTATTTTAGTCAATCATCGTCCAACTGAAAACCACTGGTGACCAGCAACATCGCGGTTCGGATACCGAAGCTTTGGGAGAAGCTCCGAGGCGGATCAGATCTGGAAGCTGAACCGGATTGGTTTCTTCAAGTAGGGGTCGAAGTAGGTGTTCCAGATTTTCGTACACCATAAAGTTTCTTCTGGGTTTCTACTCTCAGCTTTCATTAAGGGCCTCGTTTACCATCTGGGAGGTGTCTCCAGTGTCTCCTACTTTCTTGCAGGCCACGCTGGTCTTCGAAGACCAGCGAGGCAGTGGTGATAGGGAGCGAACCCTGCACGCCTACTACCATCACATACACGAATGGAGGACAGCTAGAGCTCAAGAGGACCAGCGAATTTGTTGCTCCGCAACAGCACAAATTCGCCAGCGAGCACATGGAAGACGTGAACAAAACACGTGAACAATACTTGCCACTGCCGAAAGCGCTTTCATTTCAGCCACAGGCCACACATCAAATCAACAACTCACTGTGGACTCTTGATTAAGAAAGCCCCCCTATGACGATGTTTCACATTGTTTTACCATCCAAATGGGTGCGCTTTATTCAAGAAGAGTCTACATTACAGGCCGAAAGAACGTCTGCCCTCTCCCGCCTTGGCCAAACCAAGCCCTTTAGGGCCTTGGTTGGTCGAATCTCTCTCTCTCTCCCTCCCTCCCTCTCTCTCTCACCTACCCATATGGTCAGCCCCCTGCGTTCTCTTAATGTATGTCCATTGAAGCTAGCCTTCCAAGACAATTAAAAGGATGGTTGACCTGGTTTTGTAGTGTAAAATCGTTGGTAAAACAAGGGTTGTTTGACAAAGACCATTGAAACAATGGCTGTTGGAATCCCAGGGCTGATGTATAGGCAGAGTTTGGTTAACAGCTTTCACCGTGGCAACAAAAAGGCCTGAAACACAGAGGTCCATGCAAGAGTCATGGTTTTATTGTCGTTCATTGTAACTCATTGTGCTTTGTAACTCATGAACGCCCCTCGTCGACACCCCGGCGCCTTTCCTCGTGGCGCCAGGTCACTGGACCCTCAAAACCCACCGGAAGCCAACACCATACCAACGTTTCTCAAACGGAAGCACGTCATTGAGAAGTAAGAACCCCCAAAAAGCTATTGCTATCTGGGGACTGATCTTGCTAGAAAAATGGTTCTCTTTGTGGCAAGAAAAAGGTTTGGGCTTTCCTGGGGGTCTCATCCCAAGTTCGCCTCTTCTGTGTTAGTTTTTCCAGCGGTGGTAATGCATCCCGGCATGCCATGTCAAATGTCAAACATATATGAGGTATGGTCAACATTGTTTGCGACTGTTGCACCCTCAGGTAGGTGAGCCCCCTATCGTTTTCCAATGTTTTGGAACCGTGTTAAAGGGTGTCCTTTTTGTGTGTCCCCTATCGTTCGTTCGCTAAGGTTTGGAACATGCCTGCATATGAATGCAACGCTCCTATGCAATCGTGATCATCACAAATTTTGAAGGTGCTTCATATACATATACCGCATATACACACACACACATCTATATATATATATATATACGCATACACACGCGAATAAAACCACATAAAACTACTACACTGATTCTGGCCCTGATATCACTACACTAGATCTAATACTGATGGACGGAACCCTGACGGAACCGTCTCCGTCTCCGTTTCCGGCCGAACCCTCGGCCGTCGCCCCGTCGCCTTTCTCAGTTGCTCGGACCTCTCTTGGAGTCCGCACATGCCTTGTGATCAAAGGCCCAGTCCTTAAACCAAGGCCTGAAGCGTCAGGGTAGGGGACGTTTGGACGGCACGAAGACTCTGGGGAGGGCCGATGAATTCCAAGAAACTCAACCACCGAAGACTCGACATCCAGGCTCGGGGACCGAGCCTGACTTTTGGGGTGATTCCTTACATACAGTATCACATGCCTTACATGTTCTAAATCTCTAAGATTCTCTAAGCGTGGGTGACACCCGCCATGAAACAGGACATCTTGAAGGTTCTGGCTTTTGCGGCAGGCCTGGGTTGACAACTGTTATAGTTCTTGCCAGGGAGGTCGCTGTGGTTGCCGCAGGGTGTTTGCTGGTGGGTCTCTCTTTCAAGCTTGGATGCGTTGGACTACAACAAGTCACATCCATTCTCTGCTAAACATGTCATCCCTGCCTAACCTGGCTTTGGCTCTGGCCAATGTTGAAAAGTGAAACGTCCCGCACTTGAGGATGCAAGGAGTACTTCAGTTGTCCGCATTAACAAATGGCACAAGGAACCATTGAACCCATGGCCATCAAGTGTCCTATAGCAATAGCCACCTCCAAAATGCTGCGCGTACTGCGCGCCCATGGACGTGCACAACATTGTCCAACAGCGATTCAACGAGAAGCACGTTCATCAATTCCCCAACTCCCATATCAGTGCAAACCTGGCCCAAAGCTCCCGCCGGCATCACCAAAACCCCTTCTAGAAACTCTCATTGCCCATAGTGTGGTCATATACCGTACATTAGTACTGACTATGAACCGATGTACAGGTATGGGACATGAATGCGTGGACATGGCACAAACCATCAAAAAACAGCAGCTCTTTACAAGCTCTCTTTACCACCTGAGGGACCCGAACTGGACGGACATCTCCGCCACCTGAAGGGACCGAACGTGGCGAAACCGAGCACCAACGGGTCGGATCCCGGATGAGTTCAGTTATGGCAAGCGACCTGGCCATGGTGAGCAGTCAGGATGGGGCTGCCGGCCCTGGTGAGCATATACGTTACAAAGGACCGTCATTTTCTGTGATGCTACAGTCATGGCATCATGGCATCTAGTTGTTTGAAACCGCATGTGAAATCTCAGCAAGGCACAAAGGCTTGGCATATCGTGGCATACATTCCCTATAAGTTCTACATACATCCGCCCGCACCGAAGGTGCTGAGGGGCGTGATGGTGTTGAGGTGAGAACACTGAGCTCCTAGAGCGTTAGTTCTAGAGTCTAGAGGGGTGCGGATCGTTTGGAAATGGAAATGCATATCATCGTGAGGCGGGTCTGGAGGGGAAATGAAAAAGCATGCCAAAACAAAGGGGTAATGAAAGGCTTTGAACACTTCATGTGAAGGTGGTGTGTCATAGGCTCTGGTACAGGGCATGAAGTGGTATGCTCGCAGTGAAAATGAACTGTTGAAGGGAGCTGTTTGTTTGCCTTTCATTTCATGGGCCTGGTCATGCAAATGACGCAACAATATAGGACATGAATAGCATCAACCTACGGCTATGGTATTTGTCATCTCTATGTCATCATATATATTGTATGGCAAGAAAACCCCTATGTTTCGGCCCCCTTGAAACGGGTCCAAATGCCTGCAAATGTGTCCTTTCCCAAATGCATCTGTCATTCATCCACTGCATGGCACTTGTCATCTCTAGGTCATCATGCATATAGGATTATTTTTGACTGCCTTGAAGTTGCTCATGTTTCAAGGGGCCAACTTATATATCCAAAAATGCCTGCTGTTGTTGTATCGTTCAATCGATCATGCACATTGCATACTCTACCGTAATCATTAATCATTCTATTTTCCAATCTATATAGATACGACAAGCACCATCCAGCAAATGAATAAACAGGTGTATGGGAAGAAATATGTTGCGGACATTGTTGGGTATAAGCTGGACCCCTGAAAAACATCGTGCAATCTCAAGGGAATCGAAAAATAGAGTGATTACAATAATATGTCATATCATCTAGTCACCTAGTCCTGCTCATTCAGTTGCGCATCATCTGGGGTGTTGGCTTAGACATGAAATGCCTTTCCAAACGCGCCCTCTTCCGAAGCGAGAGATGGAGGCGGGTGGTTGTCGTCGGGAAGGGGCATGAATGGACTATATGTCTGACCAACTCTATACTACAAATTTTATATACATTATAAGTTGTTTATAGTTGTTTAGAATCTGGCATGCCATTGACACCGTTCTTCCTGGTTTATTGAATAGAGCTCTGCACACTGTGCAGAACTGATAGTCCTATGCAGAAGTTCCTGCACAGCTGCGCAGAACCTTTGCAAATGTTATCTTAACTTCAGCGGTTTGATGTTGAAACCGTCTTTCAATCTTTAGGGGCGAAGTGTTTGCCTACAGCCAGCCGTGTTAGCGGCAGTGAGTCTCTCGTTTTTGTCCACTGTTTTTGTTCCTAATCGGATAAATGATGCTGCATGATGCCTTAGGGGGGTCAAGTTTTGACATACAGCAGGTTGTGATTCCCAACAATATGACGTTTGCTTTGGGTTGAAATGGTGGGTGCCGGGGGTGGGAGCGTTATGTAATTACATGTTTAGCCAACATGCACATCTTCCGATCATCCTGGCTCCCCACCACGTAAGAGTTTTTCAATTTGATCGGTTTGAATCATGTTGTGAATTTATAGGTAAACATATATATATATACATTTGTTCTTCATCATGTGACGACGTTATGACATTTTTGGATGTTCCACGAAATCCTCACATATCTAAAGCCATTCTAAACGCATCGGGAACATGTGTCGCAGCACGTCACGCATCGGCGGGAGATTGGAAGATTCTGAGAAGCTTGTGACGCACAAAAATTGCAAATGCGCGTTTGAGCTAATTGGTACAAATGAACATTCATCACGGACTATGTACGTGAGTTCACTCCACGTTGAACTCAAAATTCTCAAAAGAATAAGAGCAATTAGAATATATACAAATATACATGCATATATATATATAGTTTCGGTCTATGATGATGATGATGATGATGATGATGATGATGATGATGATGATGAT